CAAAAACCAAGAAGAAACCAAGAAGTCAACTTCTGTCCCTTAAAAACAAGTTCAATATTCTATTACATTGGATCATCAGTCTATTATTAGTAGATCAAAGCTGATCTTCTTGGAGTTCAAGCTGAAGTAACTCACACTTCAAATGCTCTGAAGACTTAATTAATACATATTATTAGATGTTATCTAAAATTCTTGAAACTGAAAAGTACTCATATCTTCTTAGTTGGTTTATCTGGCACTTAAATAACTTTCCAATTATCACAGTTTGGTATCCATGTACAACATCCAGCAGCTTGTTATTAATTTGGACAATCAAGGGAAAGCTCAAGTACCAACTAACCATTTGGTTATTTGAGACTGAATGCTCACACAACCTAAAAGATGTCATTCCTGTCTACATTCAAGGGCATTGACAATGTAGAATGGGAAAATTTAGAATACCTTTAACCATTAACAATACTTAATCTTCAAGAAAAGCCTGGAGTTCTTTATGTCCCAAGGCTACAAAGTGTGAGTAATTGTAAAGAATGAATCATAGATGGGCTGCTAAGTGTATCAGCCAGTGATTATACGTGAGATAATTATTATCTTTTTACAGAGGCTATTAAAGGAAACTAGAATTGGTAATTAAATACTGTATTACAACCCTCTGAAGGACAACCTTGTCAATATTAGTTAATTCAGGAAATAAAAACATAGCATTTTAATGAGCCTTTTCATTTGTAAGCAACAATAACTTCTGATTTTGAAAGCAATATTTTTAAAACCTTAGAAAAATACACCTGTAAAACAGATTGGTTTTTCAACATTGAATTTTTGAGGCAAGAACAAAACTAAATTTTAATCGCACAGGATTCTGAGGTACAGATATTGTATTAGTTGACAAACATCTCATGTATAAAAGCCAAAGAGGTTCTTCAAGACACCTGTATTCAAGTGCGACATCATCAAAACTGGTTTTTTGTTTAACATAAATTGTTTTATGCAGCTTGAAATCATGCCTGAAACCTTCCCTTGTTAAGGTATGTAATAAGTAACATATTATTAAGTAGCACTTTGAAACATGAATGCATATCGCAGATGAGCTTTTATCAAGCCTACTAATAGTTCAATAGGAAAACAATATTCCTATGAAATCACATTGGAAATATTTCTTATTTAGATTGTTCTAAAGACCCTCAGAGGTTAAGTGTACTGTGAAAATTTGGCTAAATATTGCTATTACCTGGTCATCCAGTGTTACCACAGATCCAATGTTTCATACTGTGAAATATAAACACAGTAGCTCTTTCAAAACAAGAAAATAGAATAATTCCATTCTCTTAGGATAACGAACTTAACTGGAGAAAAGGCATCCTCTGCTACATAGAAGGAGTCACCAGTCTTAAAAAATCACATGTAAACTTGTGGTGCAAGTGACACATCCATGGAGACCGTAGGTGGAAGGACAAGAGCATTTACCCTTGAGAAGAGTTAAAAGTAAATATAAAATAAAAAGACTCTTGTTTGACCTCTAAGGTCCCACCACACACTAATCCATAGCATTTCACACACTTATAACCATCATACTTCTTACCACAATTTACTAAATCTAGGTACCAATAGATTCTTTACTGTGAAATGCAGAAGCCTATCTTTTCACAAATGCAAGTAACTATAAGCATGTGTACCCTTTACATCATATAAAGACTTTACACCATACAGAGAGTCAAATTCAAGGTCAATGGCCTGGCATCCAAGGCTTTTAAAATGGTTTCAAGCTACTTACCTATCTAGTAATATTTTTTCTCCCCAAGTGTCAAGCAGCTGACCAAGTGTGGCAGAGAAAATAGAGCCTTCTGAAAAAATCCCACACTGAATTCACTCTTCCTAACTACGCATCACAGACTCAAAACCAAAATAAAACAGACTTGAATTGTATAGTCATATTTGGATGAAAAGAAGTACAGGAAAGCTTAATTTTGCTGGTTTGCAAAATTTTGCTGGAGCTAAGCAAAAGGCCCACAATAACTCAACAGAGAAGAGCTGTTAAGTCTTGTCACCAGTTCTGACAGCAACAAACAAAAATCAAATGGCAAAAATCACAATATTTTAGTTATTAGAAACCTAAGATAGTTCACTTTATAACAATGATCCTACATTACTTCAGTAACTCCTGAAGCAGAAGGTGTTTATGCTATTTGATAAATAGCCTCAAATGGTAATTTCAGTCTTGCTTTTACATAGGATTAAATGACTACAGCAAGATCCAAGACAACAGTAACAACTCATAGGTAAAGAGTAAAAGTACTGTGGTTTTTACATGAGAATTCAGAGGGAATGGATCAAGTGCAAGTCTCATTGTTTGTCCCAGATAAACTTAGACAAAATTTTAAAATTAAGTGACAGAAATCCTATCTATTCCTGTTTTGTTTATTTGACTATCACTTCCATGTTATATCGCTGTGATTAAGACAAGGTTGCTCCAACTCACATCTTCATTTGTTCAAATATCAGAGCCAGACATTGAAGTAATTTAGCTCAAAATGTGTGATGATTCAAACATCCAAACCAAATATTTTCCGTAGAAAGCCAAAGGTGGAAAGGTAAAACAGAATGACATACTCAGATAAAAATGCTAATGTTCAACTTATCAGGTAACTTACCAAAAAATGAGAAATAATGTGTTTATTAATTATGCTTTAATATTAAAATACATTTGTATCATGGTTTTACTGCACTAGCTAATCACAGTGCTTGCAAATAAAGACCACTAGCATATTGCTATCAAGTCAAAATAAATTCTCAGTAATTTTCACTGGCCAAGGTAAAGCAAAGTATAACTTCAACATACCAAAGATTTAACTGATGAAAGCACAATGAGTCAGCCAAAGAAGGTTGGACTCCTTCTGACCTCTGTCACCACTCCAGAATATCAAATTAGCATAAACTATTAAGTATTTCCAGTGAAACATACAGAAAATTTCTCACAATATAATTTAATTTTAATCTCAGGTACAATTAATGAAAATTGGATTCCTTATTCAGAGATTATGTACTGAATATTTTGGTGTTGTTTTTCTCAATTACAGAAATGCAAAACTTATGCTGCACTGGGCTCACAAGATAAACTTTTGACTTTGCTGAATTTATTTATCTCTGTAGAATTTTTCATCATTAATGCATTGATTTTCTCTTTTGTTGCTTATCAATTGACCATGATTTTTAACAACCATTATAAAAAGAAAATAGATATCAGTAATTGTCAAACTATCAACAATTACAGGCATTATACTATGGAACCAACAGAAGACACATACCATAGCAATCATACAATGATGATTTTAAAGTGAAAGTGGGGACTCCTAGCAAAAAGTGAGTATCATAAAAATATTGAATCAAAGTACTGACACATCCAAATAAAGCTGGCCAGTACTGTGGGGGAAAATATAAAGAGCTTTTTCAAATACCTTAATAGCAAAAGACAGTACAGAAGTAACATCGGCCCATTACATGATGAGGATGGTCCCCTCACAAACAGGGACAGAGACAAGGCAGAGGTGTTTAATGCTTCAACACCTATAGTAGACTAATGGGGTCCCAGTGCCCTGAGCTGGAGGTCCATGGCTGTGAGAATGATAGACTCCCAGCAGCCCCGAACTTGTGCAGGATTTGCTGCTCCAGCTGGATTCCTATGAGACTAGGGATTCATCTGAGAATACTCAATGACATACTGAATGACATCAATCTGATGTCATTGTGAGGTCTCTTTCAATGACTTTTGAACAGTCCTGTGAATCTGGAGAGGTCCCAGTTGACTGGAAGCTGGCAAATGTTGTCCCAGTTTTCAAAAAGGGCAAGAAAGATGACCCTGGAAACCATAGCCCTGTCAGTCTCAGTTCAATGACTGCTAAATGAAGATTATTCTGGGAGATATTGAGAAACACCTGAAGGACAATGCTGTTATTGGTCACAGCCAGCATAGCATCATGAGAGGAAAGTCCTGCTTGTTAAATCTAGTCTCCTTTTATGACAAGGGAATCCACCAAGTCTGTCAAGGAAGGGCAGTTGGTGTAATCTTTTTGGATTTCAGTAAAGCTTTTGATACTCTCTCACAGCATCCTTCTGGACAAAATGTCCAGCTGGATAAACACATCATGAGTGAGCAACTGACTCACAGGTCAAGGAGAGAGGGTAATAGTGAATGGGGTAACATCAGACTGGCAACCTGTCACTAGTTACACAGGGCTCTGTTTTAGGGCCAGTGCTCTTCAAAATCTTCATAAACAGCTTCAATGCAAGTCTCAAAGGTATATAAGTTAATTTGCTGATGATAATAAATTCGGAGGAGTTGTTGTCTCCCTCAAAGACAGAGAGGCCCTGCAGGGAGACTTGGACAAATTAGAGAGCTGGACAATCACCAACCATATGAAGTTTAGCAGAGACAAGTCCTGGATTCTGCACCTGAGACAGGGCAACCCTGGATGTACATACAGACTAGGGAAGGAGAGACAGGAGACCAGCACTGAGGAAAGGGACCTGGGAGTTCTGGTCAACAGCAAGTTGAATACAAGTCAGTAGTGTGCCCTGTCGCAACCATGTCCTGGGGCCATCAAGCAAAGCATCACCAGCTGGTCCAGGCAGGTGATTGTCCCGCTCTACTCTGCACTGGTGCAGCTTCACTTCAAGTCCTGTGTGCAGTTTTGGGCACCACAATATGAGAAAGTTATTAAGCTGTTAAAGAGCATCCAAAGGAGGACAACAGAGATGGTGAAAGACCTTGAGGGGAAGCCGTATGAGGAACGACTGAGGTCACTTGGCTTGTTCAGCCTGAAGAAGAGGAAACTGAGGGGAGATCTCATTGCAGTCTACAACTTCCTTTGTGAGGGGAAGAAGAGGAAGGGCAGGCACTGATCTCAGCAGTGACCTGTGACAGGACCTAAGTGAATGGCCTGAAGTTGTAGTCACACACGCAAGTTATTATCTCAAAAAAAACCCAACATACATTAGTTTATGTACAGGTTTTTGGGTTTTTTGTTTGTTTGTTTTAATATAATTTTATCTTAATTGCAACCATTATTGCCTGGTAAAATCTGAAACCATCAACATTAAAGCAGTCATTGCTTCATTAATGTTGCAGTCCATGCTCTGTGCAGGGTAACAATAATTTAGCGCCATAAACATAAGACTCTAGCTCCTCCTAAAAGCACATGAAAAGTTTTCCTTAGTCAAACAAGAATAGATTATAAATGCAGTCATGCAAAATCAGTTATCTTAATGAAAACAGAAATATTAGATAAAAAGTGAGAAAAATTTAAGTGCATGAACCTTACAAAACAAAAGGAGCTATATTGTAATTCAAAATGCCAAGGTATTTTAAGTGGTATATATCTGTGGTAAGTAATTTAGTAAAATTAATACCAAATGCATAAAATATAAAATAACTTCAATATTTACCATTTCAGGTCATTATTTGTACAAAAAATACATTAATCTCCTTAAGTGAACAGTTCTTTTGAAAGGGGGATATGTTCATTAGCTGATTTTTCAATTTTGAGTCTTTATGCTCCCTTACTAGCATTCAAATATTAAATATGTGTGCAACTGAGGGAAGTACAATAGCAAATCAAAGTTTTCAGTGCCTGAAATGCTACTAGTTTTAACTGCCTCTTAAAAGTGCCTTACAAATTATTCTCTAATCTTGGGATTTGATGAATAGTTTACAGAAACGAGCTAAAAATAAGCGAGTGTTAAAAGGCAGGGCTGCCAGTTCTTTCATGGTCCCAGAAAACGTAGAGGAAGTTGGCAGGATCAGCTCAGCTCCACTGCGCTCCTGAAAAATATAAAATACCAGTGTCCACTGGATCATTGGGTCCTTAGCACTCTAGTACTGTTTATGAAAAAGATTTTGCTGATGACCATAATGATGCTTTAAAATATGGATTAAGACAGTTTGTCAGCAGGTGTGATCTTTTGGTTTTAATGTTGCATTCCCTAAATACATATTAATTATAGGTAAAAAGTGCTTTGCATGACGACAAATGTATTAGGACCTCACCTCTGGGCATCATTACTTAGATAGAAATATTAAGAAAAATTGAAATTAATTTAAATAAAAAATTATCTGAAGATGATATACATCTGTTTTATTCCATTTTTATCTAATGAAATTATATTTTAAGTGTTAATCTCACATAAATACTAGGCAACATCTAATTGAAACTAAGGTTGAGAGTCTCCAACAGGCTCATAAAACCTCTCCTCTCCCTCACAATGTAACCACTAGTGTATGTCCTTTGATGGTGGTAAATACAAGTTTAATAAAAAAACAAAGTAGTGGTATCACACTATTAATGTCTAGACACTTCAACTAAACCAGGACTTCAAAACAGCCATGGAAAAGTCCAAGAGAACAGTATAAGAGAAATGTGCTACTCCAACCTTTCTCATCCCAGTTCACCGACACAGATACTACAATGCCATGAATTTTTCAACATGCAAAGTGAGTTCCAGAACTTGTATACACTTTCAGCACTTCCTTTTACAATACCCATCATGGTAATACCAAAAAGTAAATAACAAAAATGTAAATTAGATGTTGCAAAACTAATTCACAATGCACTGTGCAACTAGTTTACCAACTAAGAATGGATGCTTTAGTAGAATAAAAGGTTACACTGCATATAAGAGCCTCTAAAATTTGTTAAAGTCTTTCACCTTTGAAAGAAAAAAGAGCACAATTCCCAGGTCCTCAACATAACAGAAAAAAGGACTGACCATGAACCAAAAGATTTAAGAATGGCATCATCTCACATTTTAATTCTATTTGGTATGTAAAGCAATTGAGTTTGATTTTTCAACCTCCACAGCCATCAAACTGGGTGAAATCTTCACCTGCTCTACAGTAATAACTAACATGTCAAGAGCTACAGTTCTACCCTCTAAAATAGTCATGGCACTCTAATAGCTTGAGTGGTGTTAAAGTAACTACCAATAACTCTAAGAATGCTCTTCTGCAATGATAACTTCTCAGAGGAAAAAAATAAATGCAACTGACATACCAGCTGAGCAAAGAGTGAATCTTAAATCAAAGATAAAGAACCTCTCAACTTGGAGACTAATTATTAGATTTCCAAACTTACGCATTGTGCACAGCCTTTACTTTTAGGCACTGATAGAAAACTGGCTAAAACCTGCATGAATTATCCTCCCAAATTATTTCCAGCTACTGTTAAAGGGCTCCAGGTCATTCCTTATTCTGTGACCTGTGTATGATGGTCCTGACCAGCTGGCTTTAGGTAGCTCTTCTGGAGTAGGGGGGTATTAGACAAGATGACCTTCCAGTAGGGGGGCATTGGACAAGAGGTCCCTTTCAACCTCAACTACTCTGTGAAGTAAAAACACCTATATTTTTCATTTTTGTATCTCCATTTTAATTTAGCTTGGGGAGGAAGTTAAAAATATGATAGAATATTCACTTAGGAGTACATAGAATTTAAACTGACTAAAATAGGAAGAGAGTAAGCAACAAATTGGTGAAGTAAACCTGAAAAATGTTATATAAAAAAAATTAAAATGCACAATCAAACCTAACTAAAACATGGTATCTTTAATTTACTGTGTATTACAGTGAAAGAAGAACTTCCAAATATCAGTTCAGCCAGAATATTGTCTTCTCCTTATCTGTGTTAATTTAGGATTTTTAAAAAATGAAAAATGAAGTGACATTGATATCTATCACAGACATTTTTACCTGGTACAAGAGAAGGAAAATGGTATTTCAATATAGTCAAGGAATAAAGAATACTTTAAAAAGAAAGGTTGTACAGTTAATTTTGATAGAAATCCAAAACTAAAATTCTCCCATGATTTTGCCAAATAAATAGAAGCAGTTCTCATGATACAGCGCAGCTTCATCCTGTAGTGGTCAAAACAATTTTTTAATGCTAGATATTACAGAAAATGTTTTCACATTCCTTCCTCTGCTGTTCAAACTTGTGCTTTTATACAGAAATTTTCATTTACTTGGAACTCCCATGTTATGATATATATCACATTGTTTTAAGATAAATGACTACACTTCTACTTTCATATGAAATTATCTAGTTCACCACTAAATGTATGGTCACTCATCTATCATAGAATCATAGAATAGGTAGGGTTGGAAGAGACCTCCAAGATCATCAAGTCCAACCCCTGATCCAACTCCAATTACTATATCATGGCACTAAGGGCCACGTCCAATCTCTTTTTAAAAACCTCCAGGGATGGTGAATCCACCACCTCTCTGGGTAGGCCGTTCCAATGTCTGATAACCCTCTCTGTAAAGAATTTCTTCCTAACATCTAACCTAAACCTCCCCTGGCAGAGCTTGAGCCCATGTCCCCTTGTCCTATTGTTGGTTGCCCGGGAGAAGAGACCAACCCCCGCCTGGCTATAACCTCCCTTCAGGTAGTTGAAGAGAGTGATGAGGTCGCCTCTAAGCCTTCTCTTCTCCAGACTAAACAACCCCAGCTCCCTCAGCCTCTCCTCATAGGACTTGTGCTCAAGTCCCTTCACCAGCCTCGTTGCTCTTTTCTGGACCCGCTCCAGCACCTCAATGTCCTTCCTGAACTGAGGGGCCCAGAGCTGAACACAATACTCAAGGTGTGGCCTCACCAATGCAGAGTACAGGGGAAGGATCACTTCCCTGCTCCTGCTGGCCACACTGTTCCTGATGCAGGCCAGGATGCCATTGGTGTTAAGAAAGGCAAGAAAGTTAAAGATTTCTCTAGAAAGTCATGACATAATGAAACATTGATATTCTACTACATATTATTTTTAGAAGAATTTTTATCTCCTATGTACGTCTTTTTTAGAAAGCAGAACAATAATGAAAAACTTGATACAATCTTTATATGGCACCATTACTTGCAATATATTTTATACTTTTTGTATCTGAGACCCAAAGATGCTATGACTGTAAATGAATTGTCAGTCACACAGGAGAAACTGAAGACTATAAGAAAGAATAGAAAGATTTTAGTACTACAAAAAGATGACACGGGAACAGCACAGAATACTCCCTATTCATTACAAATCAAAAGGTTGAAGTGCTTTCAACTATCCGTTGCTGATCTTCTTTACATGATAAAGTATTTACATACATTAAACATATGATATGTCCATATCTGGGATTTGGTAGATATGATAGTAAGCAAGATTGTTTGCAAGTGTGACAGATGGAAAAGAATGGGGTAAAGAATGCATTCAACTATGACCACATCTCTGGAATTGTCTAAGGTACTTTTTTTCTAAATATATTTCCATTTCAGATGCTTCACAATGAAATAACTCTTGATAACTCGTTTAATACCTGTAACAATTACCCAGGGTTTTCAAACAATTCACTTGTTGGTCCTACTTCCAGAAAAATTGTACCACACAAGACACACATAAGTACAATAACAACAACTACATTAAGGATATAGCACACTTTACTGTCCTATACAGCTAAACAGACAGACTTCCTACAGAACTGGTGTAATACTATTTCTTTCATGGGGCACACAACACCACAGACATAAAAGATATATGGGGAAAAAGGGAGCTTCAGGAAGTTTGTCCATAGGGGACATTTTATATTTATCAGATAAAGTTTCTCAAGACCCTGGTTCTTTTCCATGAGTTTAAAATACATGTAACTTTCATGTACTTTCAAAACTGAAGTCATGATGATGAAGCATTTGTCAAGCCGGCCTTTGCCAAAGAATTAAACGAAATGCATTACCATGAAGCACCTAGAACCAAAACACAACTGGTTCAGTGTCTCAGATATGATCTCAAAGTATGAGAAATAACAATGAGAAAAGGCTGTTTGCAAAAATAATACTGAATCCAAAAGTGTGTCGTTGGCTGTAGGACTAGAAATAATCAATATTCCACCTGTTTTACCTGGAAAATTGCTCTGCTGACTTAGTTCACTAAAACCAGAATGTCAGCCCAAGACGCAAACACACCAAACCCCCACTTTAAACTGCTAGTGACTGAGTATTTGCATCTATGACCTAATAATGTTGGGTTAGCCTTGTCTTCTCTGCATCAATGGTAATGCAAGGAGGGAGGCCAAGGTACATAAGATGAAGAAGATATGTCATGCATTTATTACTATATATCAAGGTAACAAAATTCATGTGATTCTAAATATAAAAAGACAAATACATATAAACCAAATAAAAGTGAGAAAAGTTACTGCTGATAATTTTGAGTAGATTTTTCAATACTTTTAAATACCTTTTGATTATGCTTAGAATTATTAACTGGTGCATAAAAGGTTCTTCTGACAATTAATATTAAAACAGGAACATAAAAACTTGTAAAAAATCAAAGTAGAATTCTGTCTTTTGGCCACCTACAAATGAGCTGTTTTCCCATACTAGTTCATTCTAAAAAGTATAATCTAAGAGAAAGCAAACAAGAAAATTATTTACCATGACTGATATTTCTAACCTGTAAATCAAATATGTTGTTAACAGTTAAAATCTCGCACACAGGCTACACAATATAAATCTAGCTGTGTAACTAGCTACACTTGCTTTTATCACATACACTTCCAGTTGGTAGGATATTATGTAGGATGTTAAGTTACACATAAACATCCTCAGAGTTGGTATACAGAGTTTGTCATAACATTCAGAGAGAGTAAAAGCTTTATACATACCACTCTGTTTAGAAAATATTTCTGTGTAAGAGTTTGATTTATTCAATATCCACTTTTAGAATCTTCAAAAGTGAAAGAAAACAAACAAACAAAATAGCAAAACCAGTCCATGTTTAAATGAAAACGTTAGATAAGAGAGTGTCCTATTTAGGCAGATAGAGATTCTCCTTTTACTTCCCCTATGTTGCTGACTGTCCTTTGTATGACTCTTGCTGGAAGATGTAACATAGATACAAATCTGTCACCACAATTAAATCAGAAATTGATCACTTGACTTTCTACTGAAGACCAATACAGATTACTTGAAATTCACCTCATCCATTTTTGAAAACACCTACAGTTTTCCACAGTAATATCTAGGTTTCCTTACCTAGGTAAGATACTTTTAGACTCCTCATACACAAGACCTAAACCCTACAACCTTATTTTCTCATTTTTTAGTTTATTTTCAGAGGTTTAGAATGACGAGATTAAGCATTATTTCACTACCTCCTCAACAAAATAGATGCTCTAAATACTTGAATAAAAACTTGTATTATGTGTTTCTCTATAACCTCCGTGAGAAACCGCAAGAATGCTCTGAAAGTTCCTATGAAGCAGAGGTTGTCAGATCCTGAGTATTCAGCCTCAATCCATTTATCTTGTTTAAACTCTTCAAATGGAAGTAGCATATCTAGAGAAACCTGAAGCACTCAGTGATGCACTTGAGCTCCTAAACAGACCATCTATCCAGACATATCTCTCAGCTTTACTTAAGGGTTAGACCAGATGTTCACTATAATTAGTCCGTTTTCTACCTTCCATGAAACAAATTCCCTCAAAGAAAAGCCTACTGGGACTACGATGAATGCAATTGAGCTTCCCAATCCATATAATTAAGTAACTAAAACTCCAGAATGTTTTCTGAGTTGTACATTCTACATATAGCTGTATCACTCCCATGCAAGCATACTGTTATTTTCTATCATCAGCAAACATACTCTGTTACCATATTATAAGGTTCTAGAAGTAAGATAGTACATGTCAATCTCCTTAAATCCTAGTTATTAAAAGTTGAGAATACTTTCTAGTAACTGATGGACACCACTTGACCCTTCTGATCCAAATGTCTAGCCAACACTAAAGTTGAAGTATTACTGTGTTCTAAGCCATTAATCAGCACCTATATGACCTCTCAGTTTGATAGTTGCAGGTATTCTTACAAATACATGAAAGTAGCAACATAAGAGAAATGCTACATTAGATTATATTTGGTCACAAGCTGGATTTCTATATTTTACTTTTAGTTGCCTTTACACTACAGTGGAGTACAAATCTGAAATATAAAACTCTCTAAAAATACGTCAAACTTGTTCATGAATCCTCATTATTCAATATGATCTCCTGAAATAGCTACAATCCAATAATTAAGTTGACCAAAAAGGCGGTTCACTTGAACTTCATAAGAAAAGACAGGACGTGTGCCTACCACAGGGTGACAACAAATCCATGCATGTTATATTTAGAAGACACCATCTGAATTGTTTAAGGGGTAAGCAACTTACCTGTATGATGTAATGACAGAGTAGGAGGAGTGGTTAAAATGTTAATAAAAAGCTGGTTTTCAAGTGAGAGGGAGGAAGAGAAATAACAGCTTACCTGAAAAGTGAAAAATATACAAATGCAGAATAAAAGGAAATAATCCTTGTTCAAGTCTAAGCAAAAAAAAGAAAAAAAAAAAAGCCAAAAAACCCCCAACCCAAAACCACATATTTAGCTGCTTTTATATTCCTGCTTTTGTAACTGATTTCTTAGTGAACATCATTCAGTAATTTTAGGTGCAAACTAAATTATATTGACTAGGAACCTCAAACTCCATCAAAGCAGGTGAAGTTGCTTTTAAAGCATAAACACTTGTAATTTAGAAAAATGTGGTTTAGTATAGCTGTAGCCATTGAAGAAAAGGAACTATTGTTGATATTAATATGTAACACTTGTGCTGATAGTCCTTTAAATTTCTTTACAGTTGAGACAAATATCTGTTCTAATTCACATCTATTCACAAAAAAGAATATTCAAAGGCATAAAATATAACATTTTTTCATTTTATTACAGAAAAAAATGCAATATCTACATTAAAGGTATTTACCTTTCTTTAACTGATTGTTTTTCAAAAACATTGTGAGCTAATTAAAAAATGTATCTTTATTGCAGTAATTCTTCAAATGAAAGTCAAGACAAATTGTCTGTTTGATTATTATTCCAACTCCAACACTCATTCATACAAGTTTCATGAACCATACAATACTTCCTTTGTTCTGTATTTTATATAATACTTTGCTATAATACTCACTATATTATCACCTAACTTAAAAATAAGAAGACTAACACATTTAATCGGGGGCAGTACTGTACAAATTACCACAGCTTTACACCTTCACTTACTCATTTCCAAGGGACTATTGCTTAACTCATAAAGAACAGTCACACGAATTATATAAAGAAATCCATAACAGAAATTAAAAAAAAAAATTACATAATTTACTGCAATGAGGATTTCTAACACGGAAGTGAAAAGGTGATAACTTATAAGGAAAAGGCATTTCATTAAATCTTAACACTTTTGGTTCAAATACACAAGAGCTACAGTCATAACAAAGCACCAAAAGGCAACATAATTGTCTTACAGCTGACTTAAGCACATTCGATAAGTAGGAGAATATCCAGTACCAGTTTACATAATAAAGGAAAAAGCTACTATTGTTTTTCCCTACATATATATCAGTCATGTATCAAAAAAAATTGCAATATTTCTCTTACCTAACTCCTATTTTTCAGTGAAATAAAACAATTATCAAGAAAATTATCAATCTTCTGTCTGCAGAACCACCAATAAAGCATAAAAGCTCCTGATGCTTTTTATGTTTTACCTCCTGAAAACATGGTCAGAGTTATGACATAGTATGGGGTAAAAAAAGTAAATCAAAACCAACTCCCCTAAAAAAAAAAAAAACAACAACAACAAAACCAAACATTTCCACAGAACAACGGCTATGATTTCCTTTGATTTGAGGTACCACCAATGAAGATGGTGACCAAGGATCCACTATTTTGCAGGGATATGGATCACAGCATGAAAAGTTTTTATAATAATCTTAAAATCAGAAACATATACTCTTAGTTCATGTGAAAAAACTAACAAACAAGGTTTCTTTAGCTTTATATGCTATTTGCTGACCCACTACTACTTGGGAGTAAGTTTACCAGCAAAGCACTAAGTAATCATTGCCTATATTTCAGGCCTGATGATAGAACATCTTGCCTGATTAGCTGCACAGTTGAAAGATATGCACAGAACAAGGAAGTAAAATTGCAAAAAAGTTTCCCTTTAAAAACACATTTATTCTTCCTACTGAAATAGAGGGAAAGTAACAGTGAAAACACATTCAAGGGTGTGGAGGAAGAAGGAGGGGAAAGAAAAAGGGGAGACCCTGTTCATTGAGTCTCTGATTTGACATTTTAAGATCTATTTTACATAAAATTTTAGCATTAATCATCTAACCATGTTAATGAGAGTTATGGTTTGAACATATTTTGTGTTATATAATACTAAATACAAAGTACTTTAAAAAATTATTTTGTAAATAACTCAAACATCACACTCAAAATTAACAGACACTTTTGATGTGAATCCCTCTGTGCCTAATCTTTCTATCTATGAAATGATAATATTAATGCTTCAACCCTACAGAGTGATTCAAATCATGTATGTAGCTGAAATACTCCATGAGGACCACAAGGAAATTAGCAATCCTGTTTTCTATAATAACAATAGCATGAAGTAACATGAAGTAAATAATTCATGCAGCTGCTTGCTTGCCAGTCACAAAACAACATATTTTAACTAGGTGGTCATCAGATGACCGAAGATCTTCCTTTATGTTTAGGTCCTGGAATCCTGTTTATAACAGTACATGATAATCCATTCAATGGATTTTTCATGGTGATTGTATGTAGATGGTAGTTTCAACATTTCCTAATTTTGAAGTTTTGGTTATGCAGCTTTCCTAGACATTCATAATACATTCTCTTTTTATCTTTCTTTGAGACAGAAACACACATAACAATGGTAGAATTCTGTGCAAGGGCATCTATCCAAAAAATATAAATGTGATAAGACAGTACTTAAGCTATGCAATAAAGCACTCTCTGCTTTCAACCAACAATGAGAAATTGTTTTTTCAAAAAAGTGAAAATTTATTTCTACTCTATTTCTAGAAAATAACTTTTTAGAAGTTCTGTTTGCATTTTTAAACATGAAAATAAACTGCC